GACCGAATCCTTGTTTCCTCAGTTTTATTTTAGCCTTTCTCAATTGGAAGGCCCTGCTTTGAAAGGATGCCTTGCTTGCTATATGGTTCTCTGGGTATGTGTGCAACAGTAGAATAATTGCTTTTGAAAGGAGAAAATAATAATGAGGAAGGCAGAGGCTCATGTTGAGTGCCTCTAGACCAGTGTTTCTCAACCTTGACAATTTTAAGGCATGTGGACTTCAACTCCCAGAATTCCACAGCCAGCATTGCTAGCTGTGGAATTCTGGGAGTTGAAGTCCACATGCCTTAAAATTGTCAAGGTTGAGAAACACTGCTCTAGACCTTTCTTCTCCAAATGGGATCTCTTATCTAGTTTGGTTGTTTTACCGAAGAATTTACTTCTGTAAGGTACTAAACTGGAAAAGCTGATCTAGATCTATGGCTTCTTCCTTTGATATTAATCCCAGGATATCAGCCTCAATAGTTAAATAACAACCAACAGTTGAAAAGCTGCATACAAACAAGATATCAGTATGTTTGCCCTATCACTGTAACTTTAGAGCAGTGGTTCTCAACCTTTCTAATGCCGTGACCCCATAATACAGTTCCCCATGTTGTGGTGACCCCCAAGTGGGTGTGGCCACCAATAAGAGGAAGTAGGACAGCTAGGGAAAAGGGAACAAAATGGTGGACAGCATGGTTTGGCGACCCCCATGAAATGGTCGTTTGACCCCAAATGGGGTCCCGACCCACAGGTTGAGAACCACTGCTTTAGAGGATCATGGAGTTGCATACTCTTAGTTTTATATACACATTATTTATCTGTTTCACTTTGCTAGAGGCAGCTCATAATCTTTGCAAAAAATGAAATAAAATCTAAATGACACTTCCTCTCAAAATTAGGGATACTGTGTATGCATTGTGATACACACATCAGACATAGCCATACATTTCCTTCTGTTGGGAAACTAGGTAATGTGAGGTGTGTTACATATTGAGGGAAGCTATAGCTTTCCCCTCTATTTCACAGAGAATAAGGGAAGTGTGTCAAACTGCCGGCCTGTGGGCTGGATGCGTCACCGGGAAACCGCATCCAATTCATTGCCAGCAATGGGGGAAAAGCTCCGATACGTTGCGTGATGTCACAGGATGTTGTGAGTTTGACATGTCTGAAGTAAGGGAAAAACTCAAATACGAATGGAATAAGCTCTACATCAGAGCTGGAAGTGAAACCTCGTAAAACAGCCAAATTCTCTCTTGGCATATTGTCACAGCTCGTTTCTCTCTTTGTGATGGTCTCTGTTTTTGCTTCCTATCTTTATAAAAAGTAAAATCTCATTATTGGCTAACCACTCAACACATTGAAGTCCAATTAGGTAAATGGTAAAATGGCGTGAACATTTTCCCTATTTGCATGTGAGCTTCCTAGTAATGGGCATGAGAAGAAAAACAAAAAACTGAACACCCCCCCCCCCTGAAGTTTATCAGCAATTTCTTGGGATGAAGCTGAATGCCTGAGAGATTAGCAGAAGGCTTTTCTGTGTATATGTCAGCGTTGCTAGTGAAATGGGTTGATTGCTATTTTGACAAGCTGGCTTCCCTTTATAGTCAAAACAAAGCAAGGCTGAGCCCAGACCCTACTTTAGCTTTGCTTTCTCAGTCTCTGAATGGCAAGTCATTCAGCCTCTGTGGCCCATCCAGCATCATCTCCATTGATATTGTCAAGAGGGAATGTGGCCTAATAGGTAGTTGAAAAACAGATGTTTGAAAGGCCATGGTGCTGGGAATCAGACCAGTTCTCAATACGCTTCTGTTTAAAAAAGGCAGATGGATTTTATAATTTACTAATGCACATCTGAACATGTCAGATTACAAATCCTAATCCTAATGTGGAAGTGGAGGTCCTTGATTCTGCAATAAAACTTTCCACTGAAAAATCAGATACATCCATGTAGATTCAGGCAAGATTGTAGAAATCATGATTCAGTAACTAAATTGTTAGAACATCCCTTTGTGCAAGACGCTCAAGTCTCAGATCATAAATATGCAACTAGGAGATTATGCTTTTCCCCCTTACACTCTTCATTGTGGCCTTGAGAACCCATTCAAACGCTTCATGGTGCAATGCCAAATGTTGGTGGAACACAATAGAATAAAGTATTGTGCTTCTACCTATCCTTTTGCAAAGGTCCCCTCTTCTTTTCCCAATGGAAAATCGGTGGAGAAACCTCCATAACCTTCCACTGCTTTCCCAATTGTGGTTTTCTATCTCTTGAAATTGCAGAAAGTTCCTTCTCTCTTAACCCTCTGATTCCCTTTTTTTCTAATCCTAATTGTAGGTGCCTAGCACAGCAATCTCTTCAGTTTCAGAGAGTGGAATAACACATTGGTCCGTTCTTCTCCCCATGTCTCCAGGCACATCAAGAGAACCATAGCTAAAGAAAAAGAACTTTTCAACTTGAGGGAACTGGAGGAGGGAATCCCGATTTGGATCATTTTCTAGGATTTGATACTTAGGAAGAATCCAGCTTTGGATAATTAAGCTACTGTTGTTTTTTTGTTTTTTAAACCAAAGTTATATAGCTGCTTAACTCACACACAGTGAGTCTGCGCAGCATACACATTAAATTATGGTTATGCTAGCTACATGGGTTTCAAAATTGATGCTTTATTGGTTGTTTTCTTCAGGATTAGTTTTAAAAAACATAGAATGGTAGCACTTTGCAGGGGAATGTTTCAAAAACTTGAGTGTCACTTACTCTGGTATGAGCATTGTGCAAGTATTTAGGGATATGTTTTGACCTATCTTGGAAGGAAGGACAAGCTCACTTCCTACTTTTGTGAAGAGCAAAAAACAAAGTTATACTCTTGAGTGTTTGGAATGGCAGTTCAGGGAATGAGTAATGTGGCTTCCCCCACCCATCACCCTTCATTCTGCCTCAAGGCTAGTTCTGTGGTTTTGAGGTATGTGCTAAATCTAGGATAAGCCCAAGGCTGCCTTTTGTTATAAGAATGAGAATCATTTGCCTGGGAGATGGGAAAATCTTGGAAGATCTTACAAGCAATCTTCTATGCTTGCCAGACATGGTTGAATGGAGAGAACATTGGCACTTTTCCATAATGGTCAAATTCTGAAAAAGTAACTTGAGTGTAAGCAAACAAACATTGCTGAGATATAAAAAAATAACAGAGTTGGAAGGGACCTTGCAAGTCTTCTAATCCAACCCCTTGCTCAAGCAGGAGATCCTATGCTAGTGATGGCGAACCTTTTAGAGACCGAGTGCCCAAACTGCAACCCAAAACCCACTTATGTACTGTCAAGTGCCAGGTGGGTGTGGCCCATTGGGTGGGCGTGGCCACGGTGGTAACGGCAGACTGGGTGGGACCAAACAGTTCAATCAATCAATTCCAACTTTGTGAGATCTTTTTTTTTCCTGTGAGAAGTTGAAATTGATTGACTGATTGATTGAACCTTTTTTTTTTTTTTTTGGCACATGGTGGCAGAGGCCTAAAGTGAAAAGGTTTTATAAAACCCAGCTGAAGGCCTAGTACTGGGGCGAGGGTGCGCGTGCCCACAGAGAGGGCTCTGCGTGCCACTAGTGTCACACGTGCCACAGGTTCACCACCACGGTCCTATACCATTTCAAACTAATGGCTGTCCAATCACTTTTTAACTATTTCCAGTGATGGAGTACCCATAACTTCTGGAGGAAAGCTGTTTTATTGGTTAATTGGATATCTTCAAGAGCATTTTAATATATGCAGAATAGACTTTTGTCATGTTAAGAGATGTACTTTGTGGTTTTCTAAACATTTTGATGTTTTTTTAAATTTACCTTAAAATGTCACAAACCTTTATGTAAATAAGGCTCTTAGTCAAATACCAGTTACGTTGAACATAGAAGTAGTAATTATGTTTCTTAGGTTGCTCCCTCAACATCTCTGTAAGTTTCATTCCAGAATCTTGGAATGTGTATATAGAGGAAAATAGATTAAGGTAAAGATTGACAAAGTCCATAGTCATGCTTTATGAAGCTAACACATCATCATGCCTGCATGTGTGTAGGATTGATGGTGGTGGGAGGCAAAGTAATGAATAATGGCTTATTTGCTCATGGAGATGGGAGGAGGTACATATTCAGAAATATATTCCTTAAAACTGGAAAGAAACAGGGAGAATGCCGATTGCTAAAAGATTTTATAATTACTTGTTTCTTCATGGTCACACCACTTCATGCAAAATTTGTAAGAGCAAAGTGGAAATTACTTTCAAGTAACCATGTGCATTATTCTATTTCTTAACTCATGACACACATTTTTTTTCTTGAAAGACAATCTGGCTTTTCAGTTAAGTATAATTAAGGATTTATGGACTTGTTTCAGTTATTGCATCATACAAATATGTATGGAAATTTTCCAATATTCTTTTGTGAGAAATCAATGTTGTTGCTTTTATCCGTTTTAAAACCATGAGAAAACTTAACTAACATTGGTATCATAGTAATGCAATGCAGTGCAATTTAATATAAATAGTAAGCATTCAGAACAATGATACAGATACACAAAACAGGTTAGAAATGGGCTAAAGTTAAGAAAAGATTTAATCCCAGTTTTTTAAAAGTTTTTTTTTTTAAAAAATCCCAGACCTTCACTTTATGTCTTTGTTTTTTCTTAATTCAAAAAATGTAAAATTAGTCCCTTGGTAACAGGATTCCAAATTTAATACTTCTAAAGTTTTTGCTGCCATTGGGGAAAAAAAGAACATTAAGCCAGTCCTGCAAACAATTTAGCTGCTTCTTTCTATAGTGAATTTACAAAACAGTCATGGGAACTTTAATGAGAAGAATGCAGAATGATGAACAAATACTATGCAATGCTTTTCCGAGACAGCTGAATATTTCAGCTATCTGAACCACCTCCATTCCTGAGATGTTTGTAACTGAGATTTTATTGTGCTTTTGTATTTTGAGTGGCACAACTGTTTGCCTAACCATCCTTGTTTTTGCATTTTTTTCCTAGGGCCGTGTAGAATGCCAGCATGTATAATGTCCTGAATCTGGAAACAAGTGGAAAAAAAGAAGTTCGTCCACAGGAATTCACTCTCTCCTCCCCACTCCAGTTTTTGGTTTGATTCTTGTTTATTTTATAGTTAGATTAATGCATTGCTGGATGTGACTCTTCCACCATGTGGCTTCTAAGGCTAAAGCACCATGTGTCAATTAATATTTGGACCCTGCTGCTTCTGGGTAGTTCTTGGTTGCCATTGGCAAAAAGCACTACCAAATCCTCCTCCCCTTTTATGACTTTCCAGGTCACAGACTGGAGTTTGACACATTTGGTGGTCCACAACAAAACCGGGGAAGTATATGTGGGTGCTGTCAACCGGATCTATAAGCTTGCAAATAACCTGACAGAAATGCGCACACATGTGACGGGTCCAGTAGATGACAATGAGAAGTGTTATCCACCACCTAGCGTGCAGTCTTGCCCACACGGTCTAGTCAGTACCAACAATGTCAATAAACTGCTGCTGGTAGATTACTCTGGGAATCGTCTGATAGCCTGCGGCAGTGCTTCACAAGGTATCTGCCAGTTCCTACGGTTGGACGATCTCTTCAAGTTGGGCGAGCCACACCACCGTAAGGAACACTACCTCTCTAGTGTCAATGAGTCAGGAACAATGTCTGGTGTTATAATTGAAGTGCAGAATGGACAAAACAAGCTTTTCATTGGAACTCCCATTGATGGAAAGTCCGAGTATTTCCCTACTCTGTCCAGCCGTAAACTGATGGACAGTGAAGAGAATGCAGAGATGTTTGGCTTCGTTTATCAAGATGAATTTGTCTCCTCCCAGCTCAAGATCCCATCAGATACACTCTCCAAGTTTCCCACATTTGATATCTATTATATCTATAGTTTCAGTAGTGAGCAATTTGTCTATTACCTAACATTGCAGCTGGACACCCAACTTACCTCACCCGACTCTACAGGAGAGCAGTTTTTCACCTCAAAAGTTGTCCGGCTATGCGTGGATGACCCCAAGTTCTATTCATATGTGGAATTTCCCATTGGTTGTGTTCGAGATGGCATTGAATATCGCTTAATTCAGGATGCTTACCTCAGCAAGCCTGGAAAGGCCTTGGCCAAGCAACTGGGCATTTCAGAACAGGAGGACATTCTGTTCACAATCTTCTCTCAAGGGCAGAAGAACAGAGTCAAACCACCAAAAGAATCTGTCCTCTGCCTTTTCACATTGAAGAAGATCAAAGACAAGATCAAGGAACGCATCCAGTCTTGCTACCGTGGAGAAGGGAAGCTTTCTCTGCCTTGGCTTTTGAATAAAGAATTAGGTTGCATAAATTCAGTAAGTCTGTTTTTTTTCCTCCTCTCTTCTTTTTCCTAGCTATAAAAACCCTTAGGCTTCCATATGTATTACACTCGATTCTCAGCCTGGTCTCCTATCTAGAGATATAAGGGATGGTTCATTTTAAGCATCTTGGGGTAAGTAGTTATTTAATTAATATTATTTGTGGAGACAGGGCTTATTAATGACATCAAGTGCCTGTGAATTGGATTGGGATTTTCTGAATTTTGTAGGTGGGATTATGTGGGGGTTTTTTTCTTCCCACATTTCTGTTAAACTACTTAATAGGCATTGATATTTCTTATTCAAAATGAGAAAACCTATGCTACCAGTTCTTGCTGTGGATTACTTCTAAAGCTTTCAAAAATGGACTTAGAGATTGTGATTTCCCAGTCCATTAAAATATGACTATGTTGAGGTGGCTGATTAAAGTTTTTGGCTTTGTTTATTTAGGAAGGAAAAGGCAGATATTAGGAATAAATAATACTAAATATTCTTAGAAAAAAAGTATTTAAAATGACTTCCTGTTGTCCAGATAAATCTATATTGCTGTAGGTCAAGGATCTGTACTAACTTTGATGCATATTTAGAGTTTCTTTTTATGTTTTTTATATATATTTTTTTCCAGAAGCATAGATGGAAAAGCAGCATTCAAGCAGCTTTCCACTTGGACATTTTTCTCCTTTTGTAAAGGTTACTTCCCAAAATTTCCAAGGCAGTGTTGCTCAAATTTGGGAAGTCAATATACATGCATCTGGAAGGCACTAAAGCTGGGAAAGACTGGATGGGAGGCATAGGGACCAGGATTAAGTATGACAAACATGTTGGGCTGAATTTCTTTATAACCTGCATTTGCTTTTGATTATTACTTCCATGGCAAGTTCTAGCAGGTAAAGCTGGTGATTGCACGCCCTCCTTATCATGAGAACAGTCTTCCTGGCAGTCCAGATCCTTAGTTGGGTGGTCTTCTTATAAAAATAAAATGGCAGGTATTCCTCAAGTCACTTTGATGTGACTGATATCCACAGCTGCATCCAAACCTGATAGGATGTGAGATGGGATATTAGGCAGCAATTTGGTTTTGGACATATGGGAATACAAAACAGATGTATAGTCAACAGTCTTTCTTATTGGGAGGAAAAGGACTTTTCCAGGTCAGAGGTCTGTATCAAACACAACTGGAGTGTCACTTTTGACGGCAATTAGAAATAAACTGTTGCCCTGCAGGGAACGAGATAAGTCAAAGAAAAAGACTGGAGTTGTTCTTTCTCAACAAAGGGAAAGTTGCCTGGCTCTGTCCTAAGGGAGGTATATATATGCCATAGGCTGTTGCTAAGACAAACAAAAGAGCTTTATTGACCTATTCCATTGTGTAAAGCCTGCAGTGAGGCAGGATGAGGAGCCAGCTTTGTTTTACTGAGTTATATAGCTGGGTTCCTTTTTAGATTGTATATAAAACAGGGTGGACATTTTAGATAGGATAGGAATGTAACATAAAAACTATGTAAAAATACAATATAAAAAGACCTTTCAGAAGTGGATCAGTATGGGCAATTTCACACATACAAGGTTAATATATACCAGAGACAGATCCGAGGTCCAAGAAAATTGGCCTAATTATCAATTGAATTGAAGAGTGATAGCTGCAATGATTGAAATATGAGGGATTGGATCTCAGATTCCATGGACTCGATCAATCCTTGGATCAAGACTGTCTTCAAATTTTGAACCAACCTATAACAGAACAGTTTAAGAATACCATCTGTATGATTTGGAATAAAATTATTACAATTTAATTAATCTATAAAATCAATGAAAACTTGCCTTCTGTTCAGATGCCTTTTATTTCTAGGAAAAAACTAGATGCATGGGATATGGAATGAATAGAATAGAATAGAATAGAAGCTGGAAGGGACCTTGGAGGTCTTCTAGTTCAGCCCCCTGCTCAAGCAGGAGAACCTATACCATATAATAATAATAATAATAATAATAATAATAATAATAATAATAATAATAATAATAATAATAATAATGTAAGCAAAAACTGGTGGGATCATAAAATAGAGAAAGTCATAGAAAATGATAAAATTAAACTGCTCTGGGACTTCAGAATTCAAACAGACAAGCACTGCAACATAACACCCCAGACTTAACAATTGTCGATAAGAAAGACAAAAAAGTTTGGATAGTGGACGTGGCAGTGCCTGGAGATAGCAGAATAGAAGAGAAAGAACTGGAGAAGATAACAAAATACAAAGACTTACAAATAGAAATAGAAAGACTGTGGCAAAAGCAAGCAAGGGTAGTACCAATAGTCATAGGCTCCTTGGGCGCAATCCCAAAACAACTGGAGCACCACTTGAACACCATTGGCATTGACAAATTTGCTACTAGTCAATTGCAAAAGGCGGCCTTATTAGGAACTGCTTCCATCCTGCGACAATACCTGTAATACCATCAAACATCTACATCTGCCTATCCCAGGTCCTGGGTAAGGACTCGATAGGTAGACAAAATGCCAAATCCAGTCTGAACATCTGGCTGACTGTGCGATGATTGATAATAATAATAATACAACTGCGATAATGATAATGATGATGTTGGAAGGTACCTTGGAGGTCATTTAGTCCAACCCCCTGCTCAGGCAGGAAATCCTATACCATTTCAGACAAATGACTGTCCAGTCTCTTCTTAAAAATTTCCAGCATTCACCGCTTCTGGAGGCAGGTGGTTCCACTGATTAATTGTTCTAACTGTCAGGAAATTTCTCCTTAGTTCTAGGTTGTTTCTCTCTTTGATTAGTTTCCGTCCAATGCTTCTTGTCCTGCTTTCAGGTGCTTTGGAGAGTAGCTTGACTCCTTCTTCCTTTCAGACAGGTGACGTCTAGTCTCTTCTTAAAAATCTCCAGCGATGGAGCTCCCACAACTTCTGAAGGCAAGCTGTTCCACTGGTTAATTCTCCTCACTGTTAGGAAGTTTTTCCTTAATTCCAGGTTGCTTAGCTTTTTTATTTTCTGAAATTATTGAATAACAGTCTTGGAAGAAATTGCAGTTGCCAATTCAAGAAATGTACAGTGGGTAGTTTCCAAGTAGTTGAGTTCTCAGGTCCTACTTTTAAAGTTTTTAATAAAGTAAAGCCTTTTGCGGGACTTTTTACATGAGACGGAGAAAACCAAAACTTGACATATGTACTTGATGATTGTTAAAATTTAAAAAGGGGAATTTTTTATTTCCCCCCTTTTTGGGGGAAATGATAATAAAACTAATAAATTAATAATAAATAATAAGCTAATAAACTAATATTTGAAAGTAAGTGTTCTTTATATCCTTGGAAGAAGAAGTCGGACGTCATTCTTTGTATAGATTTGTGTTTTCCTTTCCTTTCCTTTATACTTTTTCACACTTCGATCCCTATTTCTTTTTACTCTTTATCATTTCTTTTGATTGTTAGTTTATGTTGATTTTGTATGTGTGCTTTGTAAAATGTAATAAAATGACTTAAAATGAATTTTCTTAACAAAGTCAAAGCCAGCATCTTTTGAAGCAGGCTATTCACTGTGGAACAGTTTGTACTGCCAGGACATTGCTCTTAAAGTTTAATCTAATCCATTTTCTTGTGATTTAAACGTAAAGGGCATCGGTAGAAGCTATTCCAAGCATCATTAGAAATAATGAACCTCAGGATTACTTTAGAAACTTCTCTGCTGTTGCCAGAGTGGCTTGTGTCATATAAATGGCAAAGGAAACTAACATAAAACAAAAGGGCAAATAAAATGTTTAATAAAGTTTATTAAAATTAGACATTTGGTACTGGTGTGCTATATATTTATTAAATTTATATGTCACTCATCTCCCTGATAGGGTGACTATCTATGGCAGTGTTTCCCAAACTTGACAATTTTAAGGCATGTGGACTTCAACTCCCAGAATTCCACAGCCAGCGTTGCTGGCTGTGGAATTCTGGGAGTTGAAGTCCTCATGCCTTAAAATTGTCAAGTTTGGGAAACACTGATCTATGGTATACTGTTAAGGGAAACAAGTAATATCTGGCCTCCAAAAGTTGAATTGCCATTATTGGCTTGGCTAAATAGGGATGATAGGAACGAGAATTCAGAAATTACTGAAAGGATACACATTTTTCCCTATATGTTGAGGACAAGATTAGGGAATCTGATTCCTTCCAAATGTTTGGGACCATACCAGGTCCAATCAGACCTGATTCAGTGGGACAGAACTATAGGGAGTGAATTCAAAATGTGGGGGAAGTGCCATGTTGCCTAGATTTATATAAGGACTTGAGTGTTATTTCCATGGCTTTTGGAAGCATTGGAAACTGTATGTGTCTACTAGCCAGGAAATAAGTAATAGAACTTAGCTTGCTGGATGCTGTCTCCATAAGAAATGGGAGATTAAAACTGGAACGCTATTATAAACTGTAAAGTATTATGCTGTTGGTATTAGTAGTTGAGATGGGAATGCAGTGTATAAACAATGGCACTGTAGTTCTTTACTTTCATAACTTCCATAATCTTTCTGAATGGGATAATCTGAATATATTTCTGATTTGATTGACTTGCCTGGTTTTAGTGTGTTATTAACAGCAATGGAAGAGAAACCTATACAACAATCTGAAAATTAGATGAGTAATGGGTAGAAATAATAGCCCTCATATTTTTTTCATTCTTGCACAATGAAGAATTTCCTGTGTAAACCCATGTTGCTAACACATGACATGAAAGTACAACTCTGACAAAAATTGGTTGGGATGAGGGGGCTCATCTCTCTTCCCTTGTTCAGATATAGTTTTCAGGGACTTAAAAAAATATTGTTCTATTAGTTCGTTAAGGTACCATCTTTCTTTTGAAAAAGAGAAACATATTCATAATAGCAATAACATTTTAACCATCATCTTCAAAACATCTGAGTATGATAGAATATGATGCTTTGTTACTTTTTATTCTCACAGCAAATTTGTTTAGTCACTTTCACTGGTGAAGGAGC